GCAACAATGAAAGCCAGGTTGGTCTACTAGTTCAGGTGCTGACTATGAGTTCTAGTTCCTCCTTAGGCACAAAAGCCTAAGGGGCCAATCCCTCCCTCTCAGTCCAACTCGCCTCACAGGGTGGTTGTTGTGGGGAAAATAGGAAAGAGGTACATTCCTTGCCAAGTTATTTATAAAAATGATAAAGGCATAAAATAATCCACTGCTAAATTACTCTTGCTATTACAGTAGTGTCATTATCATTCATGAAATTCTGAGCTGCTTCACTCTATTCAGTACAGCATGAGTCAGCCACCATAGAGCAAGATGGACCTTTATTGTTTCAATCGGTTTAAACTATGTGGAAAGCTACTGTACAGGTAGAACTGGATTCAACAGCTTAGGTGACTGATGTGGAAAATCCCAATTTGCCAACCTCATTCATGATCAATGAAACAAATACATTTGAAATTTAACTGAATCAAAGCAGAGTTGCAATTATCCTCTTTCCTGCACACCTGTCATGCCCCTGAGTTTGATTCAGAGGGGGAGGCCAAGCAGCTGACAGGGAGTGGGAGTGGGGCTCTGTTGGTTGTGGAAGAAATTGGGGAAGGGCAAAGGCCGGCTGGGCAGAGCAGGGGAGAGGTAGAGCAAGACAGAGGGAATTAGGAGTAAGATCCAGGCCCGCCCCCTCTTCAACCTAGGGCACGCAGGAATGGAGAAGGGAGCAATGTGAGTTGTGTGGCTTATGGGGGAGGAAAGGGCCCTGATTCCCTTCATTAGCTGCAGCTGTGAACACAGTGTTTAAAAAGGAAAGCTGCACATAGCAAAGTTGTTGGGAGCAAATCGTGAATTATCTGGTATCCTTGAAGCTTATTTGGGTTCCTGGTGTCTTCCCAACTGTGTGTGTTTTGCTGGCCTTTCAAGTCTGCAATTCCTTCTCCTGCCTTGTCAAGTTAATTACTGCAGCGTGGTTTGTGTGGATTTTTATTTACAGTTTGTATGTACTTTGTTTTCGGACTGAATTTCCTCCACTTAAAGACTGTTCTTGGGAGAGTTTTTTCTCCAGCCGAAGGTAACTGGACATTGTGGGCAAAATTGGAGGTATTAAAGGGACACTTCTTGCTTATTTGACTGTGTTGCCTTTGTGCCACGCCCCAGGTCATCACACACCTAATGCAACTATGATAAATGCCAGGTTAGGCTAATGCTGCCTCCTGCCGTGTGTTCTGCTTGGGCTGCAGTTCCAGCCAGCCTCCCAAGGCACTTGGAAAGTGTCAAAGTCAGAAAGCTAAATCTCTGCAAGAAGCTCTTCAACAGGCTTTCCTCTAAAGCATCCAGAAGTTTCAGTGTCTATCCTGTTTCTCCAACAATACGGCCTCCCCCAATAGGAAGTCCCAGCATGTTTTATAGGCATGAAATGAAATTAAGCCCCTCCCCCCAAATTAAGGCCTATATTAAAACATGCGAAATGGGGGGGAATGGTGGGGGGGGCTTGCCGTTAGGAAGTACTTTTGTTGCACACCCGGATATGGTGCTGCCTGCGTTGACCCCGATACGAAGTGCCCCACCAACGCCGAGGTCAACATCCAAGCCGTTGCCGCCTGCCTGCCCGAAGATGCAAGGGGGGGGGCAGAATTAAGTCACCTCCGAAAAGACGACCTAGCCATTTTTTCGGGGCTCAAAAAAAAATAAGACCCGGCCTTATTATATGAGAAACACGGTATTTGCATCATTTTCTTCCCACATCATTATCATACAGTACTTTTTATTCATCATTCTTACTGATCAACAGGTTTCCAGACATAATTGAAGCTGTTTGTGTATATAGATTCTCAATCATCCATGTCATGATTATCCCAAAGGTGCTTTTTTTCCTTTCCAAAAGACAACTGGACTTTGTACAGGTAATCCTTGACTTACGACCACAATTGAGCCCAAAATTTCTAATGTTAAGTAAATATTTGTTAAGTGATTTGCCCCATTTTATGACATTTCTTTCCATGGTTGTTTAGTGAATCACTGCAGTCGATAGATTAGTAACCCGGTTGTTAAGTGAACCTGGCCTCCCCAATGACTTTGCTTGTCAAAAAGTTGCAAAAGGTGGTCGGATCATATGACCTTGGGACATAGCAATGGTCATAAGTTTGAACCAAGCATCTGAATTTTGATCGCATGATTATAGGGATGCCACAAAAGTCATAAGTGTAAAAAATGGTCATGTTACTTTTTTCAGTGCTGCTGTAACAAGGACTACCTGTAATTCCTCAAAGACATTTCACTTCTCGTTCAAGAAGCTTCTTGAGTTCTGAAGCAGTGAACTGAACTGAAGAAGCTTCTTGGATGAGAAGTGAAACATTTTCAATGAAATACAAAGAAAGCCCAGTTGCCTTTTTTGGGGGTAGGATGGGGTAGCACCTTTGGGATTATTAAAGCTGTTGTACTTATTACCTTATATGGTGTAGGAAAAGATTCCTAAAGTACTGCCTCCACTGACACCTCTCTTTTTTTAAAAAAATGTTTTTAAGTTTTATGAAGCAAAAGACAAATATAGTATAAAGAAAAGAAAAAGAGAAAAGCTGTACAAAAGAATACTTAAAGAAAAAAAAAGTTGAAAAAACAATTTCCACTCTTTACAGAAGTTACACACTCATTATCCTCCCCTCATTAATATTACAATAATCCCTTCAGCCCCCTTACTCAGCCTTTTTTCAATGTCAAATCCAGAAATCACAATTTCCCCCTCCCCTTTCAGCAAAAAGTCTACAAAGGGTTTCCAGTCTTTTGTTGTATTTGTTTTATTCCTGACCAAACAAGCCAGTTTTGCCATCTCTTCTAGTCCTGACATCTTCACAATCCATTTCTCTGCTATAGGTATGTAATCTTTCACCATATATAATCATTTCCACATCTTTTCTAATTGACCATCCATTAGTCCCAATAAAAAAGAGTTCTGGTTTCATCTCAATATTAATCTTCAAAATTATTTGTATATTTGTTTCCCTTTTTATGCTTTTTCATAAATCTATCATGCATGGTAAAATGTCCCTTCATGTTTTTACATTTCCAAAAATGACTAAAGTACCTTTACTATCTACCTCTTATTTTCTCTGGTGTCCTGTATCTCATCTGATTCTTCTCAATCTGAGAAGTGTATGATTTAAGAAGCTATGAGGTGAGACATTCTTTAGATTAAGAAACTTTGACCCATAACCAGCCTCATTTTACATTAATGGTGATTTTATAGGATGCTAAGACCATTCATGGTTTATTCAGTTGCATCCTTACTTATTTTCACACATACACATACACCCCATTGCCTTATATCACTGCTCTATTTTGTTTTGTTTACTATTTGTTTTCATTTTTGAAACAGCAGAGTGTTTCAAACTTTGTTCCATGGAATCCTAAGATTCTATGAAAACTTGATGGGTTTTGTGGGAAACTAAGAGCAAAGACAAACATTCACCGAAACACAGCTTTCTATGTTTATCATTTCAGCATTTCTACCATTACAGCTTTGCCTCTTCATGAGGGGCTCCAGAATTGTTTTAATAGCTTGAAAAAGTTTGAAAACACCTTTATTGGGGTATGTTTTAAATGGTTGTTATGACTCATCTTAGAAGGTTTTTGTACCAAAAAGCAGTTTGGAGACATTTCAAATGATGAAATATACCAGAACCAAAACCAGAGAAAGAAAACTCACCTCCACATTTCATTACTAAAAGGTGTGTTGAAGTCTTCCTAGCTATGGATTTTGGAAATGGAGGTCCAACACATTGGGAGAGCAGCAAGTTAAAGAAATCTTTACTAGTTGCCAGGCACTTTGGGGATTTTATTTTGTGTGAGGCAACATTACGATACAACTAGGTTGTGATTAATGGGAGTTCAAATAAAATAATATTTGATTTAGTACAAGTTACATTATGATACCAAGGTTCGTTTAATGTTTTCTGATTACCAATGGAGTTTTAGATCCTGCTACTTCAGTCTGCATTTGTTTATCTTTGGATATGCAGAATGGACCAAAAAATGATAGAAACACTTACTGCAGGAATGCAAAAAAAAAGAAGAAGAAGAAGAAGAAGAGGCTTGTTGTTACATCAGAGTAAAAATCTGATGTGGTTGAACGACATAGCAACCTTGAAGTAGATGTCAGAATGTCTGTATCTATGGTATTTGGTTTTTACTTTGCAAATTATACCCATTATCCCCAGAGCTGGAATCTGCACAAGAACACCGTTGTTATCTTTATAAGTAGCCTCCAGTTTTCTGAAATATGCTCACAAGGAACTTTAAATTGAACACATATGGCCCATAGCCAACCCTGGGTAGGGACCAGATTTCATCTGTGGAGAAGCAAAGAAATATTTTCACTCCATAGAGATCACACATGGCACCACATCAGAACATGGTTTACTGTTTATTTGGTGTTTAATTTGTGTGCTTCGTAGATCAGTTTTTTTCACTGATCACATTTTGTATGAATTCAAAAATTATGGCTTAGTCAAAAGCACTTCAGTATCTCCATCTGAGAACAGAGCCATTAACTGCTTCCAGAGCAGGATCTGAAAACACACAAAACTGTACCTCACAATATATGTTCAGTCTTTACAAAATCTGGTAAAGTGGATTAGAAAGTCCCGGGTTCAAATCCCAGGATTAAGTTCACAAGCAATAGAGGATGTCGGATGGACGGATAGAAGGCTCCTTTTTTTTTTCTCCCTTCCACGCCGTGGCGGCTAAATTCAAACCGGAGAAAAGACTTCCCGCTAAATTTCTCAGCCAGTAAAGCTCATTGCATTGAGCTTCCTCTTGCAGCTGAAGTGACCCACGGACGCCCGAGCGTTGTTTTGATCCCGCGATCTTCTACGAGCTGCCTTCCTCCTCGACGCTCTGCTATCATTGCAGAGAGCTGCTTTTTTTTTTTTTTTAATTTTAAGGGGAGGAGGAAACGGCTGTGGGAGGCGACGTTAACCAACGCATTGTTAAATGCCCTTGTACGGGAGGGTGGAACCGATTTTGCAAAGCGAGGCTGAGAGGGAGCGAGCGTGCAGGGGGCAACGACGCTATGGAGCCCGGCCCAGGCTACGGGGCAAGAAGTGGGCCGCCTTTGATGCCGCCCTTCGCGGGGGTCTAGTGGGGAGAGCAAGTGCCATGCTAGAGCCCCGCGAAGGGTCTGGGCCCCCGCAGCAGGTGTCCCTCCAGGAGGGCTTCCGCGATCCCGAGCGGCGCCAGCGCTGGGCCAGCCTCTTCGAGCAGCTAGACACCAACAAGGATGGGCGAGTGGACATCAACGAGCTTCGCGAGGGCCTGGCGCGGATGGGCATGGAGGCCGGCCCCCAAGCCGAGCAGGTCAGTGGAGGAGGAGAAGGCAAGGCTGGACGGAACGCCGTTTAGCGGTAGATAGACAGGTGGGGCTTGAACAGCGGATGGGGTTGGCTCGAGCCTCGCTCCAGGCTTCATCCGTAGTACATCTGCAGCCCGGCTCTGCAGCCCCACCACTACCACCACCCAGCTCCCCACGAACCGCTCCTCGCTTCGGCTTTTCAGTTTCCTTGAAGCTGCAGAGGCGGCGCCTGCCCACTGAAGGAGCCTGCCGGGGGAGCTGGCTCTGCGAGAGCCCGATTCCACGCGTGGGTGCTGGGGAAGGACTCCGTCTAGTGCGCAGAAGGAAACCCATAGGATCCCTTCGCACGCGCCGGATCCCTGCGTTCAGTAATAAGAAGGTTTGTCAGTCTGGGGCCAGAAAAGCCCTCGGCACCCTCCATAATCGGGAGAGGCAAGCTGAGTAGCTAAACGGAATAGCCCGTGAATTATACCAGGGTCAGGTGCTTGGTTTTTAGGCCCGCTGTGTTGTAAGTAGATAGGCCCCCCTTATAAGAGGCAGCTCTCTCAGGGTTTCACCACCTTTTAGAAGCGGGCATTTTAGATGGCTTCAGCTTCTCACCCCGTTGATAAATCTAATCCCAGTACTGTGTAGAAGTCCGCTCTTTCCTTAGTCCTGGCTCACCGTGAGAAACACATGTTGGGGCATAGTAAGTTGATATAACTGATATATTGCAGAGCTTTTATTTGGGCCCTTAGGCCAGTCCCGAGAAGCACATGCTTGCATCAATAAAGGGTCTATGCTGTAAAATGCCTGCTTTAAGGTAGCCCAACATGCTAAGAGTTAGGAGCAAGACTCTGGGATTCAGCTGCTGTTCGCTTCAGCCAGGCTTCTTACAACTGGGCTGTCCTCAGCAAACTAGTACAGCAACATTATTCCAAAACCAACAAGGTGAATTGTGACAGTGATATTAAAAATATAAACTGTTGTGGATTAGAGCCTACTTCAGCCAAACCACTGAAATTTGGTTCAGTTGGCAGCTGTGTAGACCAGAGGAAAAGAGGTAAGCAGTGGAGCCAGTTGCAACAATATCCAAATAGCATTGCTCACTTTTAATAAATGCAAATTAGTACAGTAATCATATTCCCTGGATGTGGGGTTGGGTTTTTTTGGGGGGGGGGGGATGCTGAGGACAGTAATGAAAATCCTCTGCAAGCACATGCTGAAAGTTATAGCCCAATCTAGAAGCCAAGGAAAAGACTCTTTGAAAGGTATCCACGCACCAGATTAGTGATGATTTTAGGTAATTGTTACCATTATTACATTAATATTTAGAGATGTGGGAAGAGGAAATTTTAAAAAAAACTATTCCTTTTGAACTGACTACTTTGGAACAGTGCATGTATTCTGAGATCCTTGCCTTTCCCCAGTGGCTATTTTGCAAGTTTCTCTCTTTTGGAGTCCTTATAGAGTCATCATTATTCTTTGTAGATTAATTAAAAGTACATTAAAGTACCATAAACTCTAAGCGCAAATCAATTAAACAGTTGTAGGAGAAGCTGTCTTTAGCAGTCCTGCAAGCAATCCATTGAAAAGGAAATGGTAAAGGGAGGGGAAAAGGTAGGAAAAAAGTGGTTCTTCATGGGAGAAGACTTTTAAGTCTTGGTGCAGTTTAGTAACTTAAAAGTTCAACAAAAAAACCCCACTCAGGATCAGCAAGTTAACAAAGGACTAAGAATGCCCAACAGTTTTCACTCAGGACAGTTTTACATTTTTGCCCTGAAATTATACAAAGTGTTGCCAACACATGTTCTTTGGTTAATCTGCAGTAGCGCTGTAATGAGATTGCTTGATCATTGGATAGATTTACTTATTTTGATAGGGGTTCATTGAATATGCTTCAGAGGTTGTTTATTCATACTACTAAACCATAAGATGTGATTTACAGAACACAATAACTTGCTTCACATAGTAAGTTTTTTAGGTTGAGTTTAGTATGTTACTGGAATTGCAGGTATTAGATTTTTAAATATTAAGTTATGGCTTAGTAGTGTGTTATGGCTACCAAGCTAATAATGTAATAAACATGGTATAAATCAAGCCACAGTTTTTCCCCTTAAGGCTTTCCCCCCAGTTCTAGTTATTAGATACCTCAATGATTCACAAATGAGAATGCTCACAAATCCTGTAGATGGGATACAGGTTGATTTTTTTAAAAAAAAAAAAACAACTAGTCTCAGTCCTGACACTGTAGTAGGAGACAATATAAGATTCCACAGAAACTGTTTTGAAGCTACATTGCTGTTGGACAGTTCATAGTCTATTTTGAATCTAATATTAAAACCAAGCTAAAGTGGGTTGCCAAGGAAACTACCATCTTAAAAAAGAAAGACGTCCTAACTAAATATGCTAATCTGGACGGTACCTAGATTTAGTAAATTATAGAAGAAAATAAAATAAAATATGACACATAGCATAAAATCTAAAAGCAGAAAGATGTTTCCTTTTTTAAATGGATCATTACATGAATTCTGGACTCCAGAATGCAGCTATAACCTGATGTAAAGACTAGTTTTCTCAATAGAATTTACAAGATAGTATTAAGGATGTGTGTGTTTACAGTTTTAACAGGTCAGTTTGGATGCTAGTTCAATTAAACTTTGTGGGGTTAACTTTGAAGTAAATGTATGTAGGATTATAACATTAAAAATCTTCAAACTATTTAAACTTAGTTTCTTGTATATTTATGTACACATCTATGTAGTTTTCCAAAATAATAGTCCCATGGGATAGAGGATTTTGTTAAAGCTTAGTCCTTATGCATAGTATCCTTGATTTGCTAATAATGTGGTAAGGAAATTTAATCTGCTAGAAAGGGCAAGGAATGTTAAACTGTAATGATTATTCTCAAGATGCATTCAGATAACTAAACTATTTAGGACAGAACAGACTTTTCCTGGATCTCAGCTTGTTTGCTCTGAAACATTTTGTGCAGAATTGATTGGTTTATCTGCATGCCAAGATGTACCTTTCAACATACAGTTCTTGGATACATTGTTGCTGTCAGTGCACTTAAATATTGGCTTAGTTTACAAGTCCAATTAACTAATAAGATCATTTCATATCCAAAAATTACATTCTGATTTAATTCTTCTGCATTAGACGCACCAAGGGAAGAAGGTAGAGGTATCCTTACAGATTATCTAGTACATCCTTCCTAACCACTAGATCAGTATTGCTTAATATTTGTCTTCAAGACACCCTCCCACTTTTAAAAATCATGGTGGATTTGTTTGAATGGGTGATATTTACTATATTAAAAATCGGACACATTCATAGAATGTTTATTGAACAATGTAAAATAAGTGTCAAATATGGCCGTATGTAAAACATTTTAATGAAAAATCCTTGTATCTTTTCACAAAATTAATGAAAAGTGACATTGTTTTAAATTTTTGCAAATATTTTCAATATATAACAAGTAATTTTGATTTCACAAACCCCTGAGAAACACTGCTCTAAACCTATGGGAACAACTATTGATGAGGAATCCATCTGAGATGGCCCTTTGCTGTTTACTCTTTCTTTTGCCCATTATTCTGCATGGACCACCATAGTTGCTTTATCATCTTAAAACCAACATTCTTAACACACCATCAATATTTTTCTCATTTTAAGCAAAAGATTCACAAAATTGTATATTTGTAAAACTCTCCACACCCAAAAAAAAAAAAAAAGAAAACCCAGGAAGGCACTTTTTGCACAGTCATTTTGCAGAGCTCGTATCATGGCTTTATGCCCTTCAAACAGTTCAGGTTCGCCCTCCCCTCAGCAGTAGCACACTCTGATGTTTCTTTGGGTCTTTTGGCCACAATCAATATTAAATGCATTTTGTTGTCAAGGCTTGGAATGGGAAGCAAAATTGAGTAGATCTATTGGGGAAGGGACAGATAACATTAACTCCCTGTTCCATTTTTTTGTAGTCCTCAAATTATAGTGGAGTGGGACATTGTTTTGACCAGTGGCCATTTTGGTTACTGTGCCAGTGTTTGATCTCAAATCCACTTGTGCCATTGACAGGTTTGGCTCAGTAACTGCAGGAAAGATACCGTGTTTCTCATAAAATAAGGCCAGGTCTTATATTTTTTTGAGCCCCGAAAAAACGGCTAGGCCATCTTTTTGGGGGGTGACTTAATTCCCCCCCTTGCATCCTCATCTAGAGCGCCCCTCAGGCAGCCTCACCACCAGCCGCTCCTAACGGGTGATCATGGTGAAGCTCAGAGAGCTCCCTACTCCCACCAAACACCTTTGCTGCAGACCCAAGACCTTTGGCACCCGCCGCTGTTGCTTTCCCTTCTGCCCATTCCGCTGCCACGTTTGGAGCTGCCACTTCCATGTTTGGAGTGCCGCTGCCATTTGGAGTGCCGCCGCCAAGTTTGGAGCTGCCGCTTCCGTGTTTGGAGTGACGCTGCCATTTGGAGTGCTGCCACCATTTGGAGCACCACTGTCATGTTTGGAGCTGCCACTTCCGTGTTTGGAGCTGCCACTGTGTTTGGAGTGGCGACGGCGCTCCAAATGGTGGTGGTGCTCCAAATAGTGGCAGTGCTCCAACGTGGAAGTGGCAGCGCTCCAACGTGGAAGTGGCAGCTCCAAATGCGGACATGGCAACTCCAAACAGCGGCAGTGCTCCAAACGCGGAAGCGGCAGCTCCAAACGCGGCGGCAGTGCTCCAAATGTGGAAGCGGCAGCTCCAAACAGCAGCAGTGCTCCAAACAGCAGTGGTGCTCCAAACGTGGAAGTGGCAGCTCCAAATGCGGCGGTGTCATGGGCAGAAGGGAAATCAACAGCGGCGGGCGCTGAAGGTCTTGGGTCTGCCGCAAAGGTGCTTGGCAGGAGTAGGGAGCTCTCTGCGCTCTGCCATGATCGCCCATTAGGAGCAGCTGGTAGCGAGGAATTGCTGCCTGCGGGGCGCTCCTAATGGCAAGTCCCCCTGCCCTCCCCCCCATTTTGTATGTTTTAAAATAGACCTAAATTTGGGGGGAGGGGCTTAATTTCATTTTATGCCTAGAAAACATGCTGGGTCTTCCTATTGGGGAGGTCGTATTGTTGGAGAAACACGGTATCTTCATGCAACTTTGGGGATTTTTAAGTCATGGTTTGTGTGGTAACTAAACCAACAATAGCTTAGTGTGAGGTAATCCCAAACTTATTCTCATTCATCAAAAATTTGCTCAGCCAGGTAATTTAATGTATGGTAGACCATTGGGCATCAGAAAAAGAGAATCCATTCAGAAATTGGGTATAGCTAGTGGAAGTCAGGCACTCAACTTGCAAGCTCTTTAGTCATTAGAGCATTTCACAGCTTGTTTAAACCATGTGGCATTGAGCTATTTTCATACTTCTACGTTTACATTCCTTTGGTTTGTCTGGCTCCTTTTCCTCTCAGACTGGTCATGTGAGTGCCCTGGAAGTGTGTGAGAACACCACCCTGCTGTTCAAGCCAAAAAAATTGCAAGGAAAGACTCTGGATTGTTTGCTTTATTTACAAAATGGAGTAAAGTAGATGTGGCCATTTCCTTTGAAGCAGATGTAACCATCTTTGGATTTCTGTTTGAAAACAGATCCTGACCCATCTGAACAAGTACCTGGCTTTCTTAAGAACTCTGATTTTGTGAATCACAGATATTGCTGGTGTGGAATGAGACCAAAAAAACAATTTAGCCAAATAAGACAACTGGCATCATGCCAATGATTTATATCTGGAAAATGGTGATTGAATTGAACAGGGTTAGTGGGGGAGAAAGGTGAGATGAAAAGGCGAAGCATGGAATATTAAAAAGAGAAAATGTCTTTCAATGGCTGCTACTGAATGAATAAGAAAGGATAGAACTATTGGAAATATGTGTACAGGAGTTCACATCAGCGCATCCAGGATGTTGCAATTATTACAGGAAAACTCATGTAAGAACAATAAATGTTAGACACTCCCCTCTCCTCACAGTGTTCAGTAAATATGCATTGTATGAATATTAAATATTTACTGGGCTGGAATTTAGTTAAAAAAACAAAACCCTGTTGGTCTCTAGTTTCTACGTCTTAATTCTTGGCTCTTTTGTTTAGATTGCATCACCTGAACTTTCCTAGTAATTATGAACATGATAGTGATTGCTCTGTCATCTCACACCCAAATAGGAGACGGGGTTGTTATAGTCATATAAATTGGCACCCCTGTTTTTTTTAAAAAAAAATTATAGAAGCTATTCTATTCTGCAGCAAGAGCTACAGATTAGAAAAATTATTCGTATTCTTAATTCATGGGTTCAAAAAATACTATGAATAGTCTTCGAGTTACAACTGTAATGGACCCTGTCCATTACAATCATAAATTGTTAGTTGCAAAACAATTTTACATTTTTTGTGGCAGTCAAGCAGAAACTCAGAGGTCATAAGTGCAAATGTGATTGTTAAATAAACACATTGTTTGCTATGGCGTAGTTTTGCTGAAAACCAGAAGTCCGGTCGTAATTTTGGATCCAGGTCATAAGTCCCTTTTTAAAGACAAGTTGTAACTTCAGATGGTCACTAAGTGACCAGTCATAAGTCAAGGACTACTTGTATTGCATTTTAACAATTTGGCAAGGAAATATTGTTAATTCCATCTTTATTTCCATCTATACATTTATTCTTAGATTAAGAGAAATCCTTGGAAAGGCAGGGTATATATATATTAAATGATAGCCATCCATTTACTCGGAGCCAAGCCGCACTAAAAGCCTCCAATACAGGAAACACTATGTTGCCAGCCAATCAAGACAAAAAAAAAGCCACAAAACAGAAGATATTAGAAACACCAATCAGAACACAGCAAACTCCAAGACCAATAAACACAGACCAAGACTCCCAACCAATCAGGATGAAGAAAAAAACATTCTGGCACAGCAGTAGGTTAGCACCAAATTTAAAACAGAAACGGCTGTGAAAGTCTGACTCACAGACGAACACAATACAGAAGCCTGATGATGGCAGATGAGATTCTGCCGAATCGTTGCTACAACTTTAAAAGCGCAACTATAATGACGTGGGAAAATACCCGAACAAAGCTGAATACCATACATATAAATACCCGCGAAAACTTAAGAAAACATACATACATACATACATATGTTTTCTTAAGTTTTCGCGGGTATATGTATGGCTCCCCCTTCTCCAGGGTTTTACATTCACAAAGGTACTATATTCATGAATAAAGCTGTAGTGAACATGCAACATATTTTGCAACATTTTGAGTTGCCTGAAATTAGAAATTGTGTCACTTCTGTCTTCAGACTCACAACAGCAGAAATAATTCTTGTTGTCTGGTTTAGCAGTCCTGCATGTAGCCTCAAATCTGGCCTTGTCCAGCGAAATCTTTGCAGCTCATGTTACACTTAAGCCCCTTGGAGATAGAATAGCAATGGTGGATAAACACTTTGCAAATTAGAGTGACAACCAAAGTTATGCTAACTAGCTTGTGAGCAAAGAAAGTGTCTCCCCAAGAATTTCTGCCTCCTCAACCAGATCTTCATCCCCAGGACATTCCCTCCCCATTGCAGGCCTTCCTGTCAGCCTCCTGTGATCTGTAGGAGAAAGCGAAAGACAGATCTCTATGTGTTTGGACTGTACAATTTCAAACTGCGGCTGTACAAAGAGAGGTTGTGTCTCCTTAGATTAAAGCAATGGTGTCAAGAAGAAAAATTCTAGCCTGGCCTTCTCCTGGATATCTTTTACATACGTACCATCACAAGCAGTACCTAAAAGACCAGACTATGAATCAGGAAATTCCTAGGGGAAGTGTCACCTGCCGTGAAATCACTTGGCAGCATTAAGGAAATTGTTCTTTCTCCACCTCACCTCTTCATTTGCTAAATATAGATATATTATTTCCTTTGCAGGTCAACAGTAGGGACTATAATTAGGTGCTACAAGTAGAGTTTGAAACATTTTTTTAAGTAAGTTTTTAAAGGACATAATTCCATGTAGGGTGTTTGGTTTGTGAACTTTTGGAATTTGAACATTTTCTTTCAGGAATCTAAACATATTCTTACAGTGAAATGTAGGCATGTACCTCCAGTACAAATCAAAAGATATGACAGATGTAGACAGATGATATCCACACTCAAAATATCACCCTGACAACACTGTACAGAGCTAGGTATGCATATCTTTTGCAATAGGAGAAGTGGATTGTGTAATCCATTAAATCAGCTTGTGTTTTCCAGATATTTCCTGCACTGGCCATGAAACTTGAGAATTGTAGTCCATTACAGTACTGGGCCACTGTAGTGGGAAAATGTGCATTAAAACAATCACTTAGATATTTAACTTCCTCCTGCAGTATCCAAGATGTTTTGAAATGGTAACGTTCACTTTGGTGAATTGCGGTTCTCCAATTTCTTTCTAAAACTCATTTGGCTTCTACTTTTTGCAGGATATCTTACGGGAGGGTGACACAGATCAGGATGGAGAACTCAACTTTGAGGAATTTGCTCAATACCTTCAGGAGCGGGAACGGAAGTTGTTGCTGATGTTTCACAGCCTGGATCGCAATAATGATGGTATGAAACTCCCCCAAATGACTTTCATTCTGTCTGAGCCTAAAGTGGAGTCAGCTTTTCTTTAGACTTTTCTCCAGCTTAACAACATCTCGTGCTTGGTTTATAATTGTGCCATATTTTCCCTTTAACAGACCTATTAATAAAGCCATCGGCACATGTCCTTTAAAAATGTCTTAAAATAGCAAGGAATATTTCATATATATTTATTCTGTATTCTTTGAGCAAGACCTAAATAAAATTAAAAAACCTTCATTTTAGATTTACAGATCGTACAGAATTTAAAGCCAGAATGTAGGTTACCTGCTTTTGGTTTAGCATGTTGTGAACCCAGCCATTGTGGCTTATTCAACAAATCATGATTAAAGCAAGCTACAGGCTAGCATAGTAACCTCATATTGTAATTTGCTAAATTCATGAACACCTTAACCCACTTCATATAATTCTTCCCATGTCACATTTGCCCAGAAATAATACCTTTCCATATCTTCACTGATAACAATATATCCTGACTTCTTGTTCTCTGATGTACCTCTAGCCTCATCTGTTTGGGACTCAATTAATATCTGATGCCCAACTGTAAAAATAGAGATCCAGGCAGGGGTGGGATACGACAGGGTTAACTACTGGTTCGGGATTTACGAGCTTCCCTGCCAGCTGTGAGCCAGGCCTTGTTTTTTTTTTTAACTGCAGCTGTGCCTCGTTCGGCAGCTTGAAAAATCAGGAAAAATCAGGAAATAAAGAGCAGATAAGAGCCCGGGTGGGCAGGTGGGCAAAAACATCAGCAGATGTAGAACCGGTTCTATGTCTGCTGCTCTTCAGAGCTACCGGTACTACAGAGGTGGACAAGACTGGTAGAAATCCACCCCTGGATCCAGGGCATAAGAGCCTCAGAGTTTTTGTTCTTTTGGTTATCTGTTCTGTTCTTTTCCTGGGTTGAGTTCCAAGAGCCAAGAAGTATCTGCTCTGTTCTATTTCCTTAAAAAAAGAATGCCTGGTTAACTTCTCCTAGACAGTTCTATGATACAGTACAGGCAAGGCCTTGGCTTCTAGCAGTAGAAGGCATATGTTATTACATATATTATTATTACTATTGCTGCTGTCATGGTCCTTCCAACTTACACCTGACAATTGCAGATTCTTTCAGCTGGCTCCTCTTCCCTTTCATAGAAATCCTTAGAAGAAGACACAAGCAGCCACATGTCAGATTTGAGCTGGTGTTGCCTTCTGGACTAGTTAGATGCAATGCAGTCTGTCCTGTTATCAGGCAGAGTGCTGTTGTAGGGCAGTCCAAGATGATCAATCCAAATTTAAGGGCAAAACTAAGTATAACCTGGCTGAATATATGTTGTATTTAGCCATAAACCACGGGATGTTACTCTTACATTTCTTGCTCATTTCTGTCTGATTCACATGGCTGGAAATAATGGATACTTCCAGGCAAAGCTTTTATGGTATTAAATATGTTGATGGATTCTTCATTCATATATAATGACTCCATGGGGTTCCATATCTGTCATTTTTATCCCCCCCACACACACACAAAACCAAAAACCTCAAGCTGGTGAAGAAAAGAGACCAGCCCAAATTTTTAAAATGTTCTTTCGGTATGGGCTTCCTTGTTACAGAACTATTTTGTGCCTTGCCAAGCAAGTTGTTTCTCCAAACAGACAAAGCAGAGATAAATCCATTGAACACAGCAGCACTTACCGCTAAGTTAACATTGGTAGGATCTGGGCAGTGTGGTTACATAAATACATGCTATTCATTTATTTTTGAATTTGAAGATGTTTCTGAGCTGGATAGAGACATGCTGTTATTAATGTGCAAGAGTTGCACTTTTCTCTTTAAAGGAGACATGAAAGTGAACTTGACAAACAACTAATCAAATTTCACTTTGGCCTTTCCCTCTCCTTTTGAAGAAAGAATACTTGGAAACGATGAACTAACAGTGAGGTAGATGAGGATGCCACTAACTAGTTTTCTGATGACTTCTGAAACATCATCATCATCATCAATATCATCGACTAGTGATTTGTGAAGCCCAACATAGTTACCTCATTCGCTGTGTACACTGTAGTTTTTGTGAATAATAATAATAATAATAGTAATAATAATAATAATAATAATAATAATCCCAAGTCTGAAACTATAAGGTAATTTTTTTAAACTGGCTTGTGAAAGTGACTACTGAGAACAAGAAAAAAAGAAAGGCTGGGTTTGAAATTGTTCAGATTAGCTTTTCCAGCTGCTTTCAAATTGGAATTTCTAGTCAGAATGGCCCAAACCAGATTGTTAAAGGCTGTGCTGAAGGTATGGGTTGCTAAAGGATGAAGTCAAGGCTCTAGTTGATTTTTCATGACACATTCTTGCACCTAGTGGAATCAATGAAAAAATATGCATGTTCTATTCTGACCTCTCTGCCAGACAATCATACTTGTTCTTCTTTGTAATTTTGCCATATATTCTGTCTCCCTGGGGCTGAAGGTCCTTTGTTTAGTAATAAGCCCAGATGAGTAGCCAGGTTCTCTAGTCAACAGTCTGTCCTATGAAAGCCAGAAAATAGAGATGGCAATTTTCTCATTCTCAAAAATATACTAAGCTCAAATCAAAGAAACAAGATAGTGGCTTAGTATAAAGCGGGAACCTAGCCTTCCTTGGCTGTTTATAAAAACTAGCTTGCAGCTTGGTGCATTGAGTGAAGCCAGCCAATTACACTTTATTCAGTAAACTATAATGTAGCATATCAGAGTTGGATACAATGTGTGAGCCAGTTACATCAAAATCTCTTCTTTTTAAAAGAATTGTCCTACTTGTGAAAAGGAAAAAAACTTTTTTGCTTCAGTTTTTCTGGTTGCTCAGTGTTTTTTCCTGTGGGGCCAAAAATAAGGATTTCAGCCCATAGAGAAGAATATAAAGTTGGCCCAGGGCAAAAGAAACACCATTTGGAGACAACAGAATCCATGGAATTTAGGAAGACTGCTCTTCTATAAGTCTTGGTTTCTCTATACACACACAAAGGGAGACAACTGGTTTCCTAAGGTAATTTTGAAAACAACCTCCAGTTCCACCTCTTTGCCCAGTTAGTTTGGAACCCAGGCAGTAAGCCGCCTTTCTGATGAAATTGTGCTCTTTCTGTAACTCAAGCCAACAGTACTCACCTTGATGAAGATTGTGAGTGATGCCATCAGTTGATATCACACAAAAACAGTTTGGTCAAATATTATTGGAGATTATTAAAGACTGGATATTGTTCTACCCCATCCAGCAGCTACTCTGGATTTTTCCTTGTATTAGCATGCAGAGAGAAGCAGTGTTCTCATCCGTTGCTTTCTCCTTTTAAGAGAGCTGGCTATGCATTTGTGTGGGAGCAACTGTGGGTTGAAAAATGCCAAAGAAAGCATCTTTCTAAACTACAATATTGTTGCAAAAATATCTAGGCATGTGTGGTGTTGCTAGTTTTAAAAACATAATAAAGCACACTAACAAAATATCCCACTGGTTTTAAACGTAGACTTAGCAACCATCATTCCACTTTCCATTATTTCCAAGATAGACTGCTGCAGTGAGATTTAATGCAGGACTGACCTTGTGGAGGTTTGTCAGAATTTAACTGCAGAACTTTGTGGATATTCTCTACAGGCTGAATCTAAGTAACTTTCAGACAAAATCAGATATTTATTATTAAGGTAGTAGCATTTAAGTGATTAACTACTTTGAAGATGACATTAGATAAACATTTTTGTCTATTTAATATAATTAGACAACTGATGATTTATCATTTTCAATAATAGTACTTATAAGCAGATGACAATAGATATGCCATTTCTTCAATACATAGGAAGAATGCTTCTATGATTTCTTCTGGTCCATATATGTGCACATTAAAAATGATATCCTTCCCAGTAGAATAATATCTGAGACCTCCACAACTTCATTAATAGATTAATTACTGATGAGTTTAAATCAGTTACAATTTATTTTAATTATATTCAGTTAAAATTAGATTATATTTAATAACATTAGAAACCAGGACTGAGGTAGGTTGAATAATAGATTATTATCTACTCTGAGCCTTGGAGTAGATAGAGTTTATAACTTCAGAAATAAGGGATATGCAAGACTAATTTCGAAATTCATATGAGTGGCCATTTTTACACCATCACCACGATGAATATGATCATTTGCATACAATTATAATATGGTATTTGAGAGAAAAATTAGGGCTGCACAGTGCTTTGGAATCAATTTGGCACTTCAGAATATGGAGGAATGCAAATACAATCTAGAACAGCTGGAAGTTTCCTCAAAGGAGCTTCAGGAACAAGGAAGAAGGGACTGTGTTTGTGTACTCCTACGTTCTGAAGTATTTCTTCCCAACTGAATCCAAAGCACAGTGTAGCCCTAATATACATTCAAAATTCTAAAATAACTTCTATCATTTAAATTAAAAACTCAGAATCTTAAGATTGTAAGCAAACATTTGAACATCTGCAGGCCATATATTCTTTGTTGATAGACATCCCAGAACGTCAACAATCTTTTCCTAGGAAGCCTCTCATTAAAACCGACCTGGATTGGCCTTCTAAGGAGGCTTTCAGATTTTAAGCTGTCTTTTAGCAAACTTTTCAAATATGATACTCAGTAAAGTCACTCCCATACAATAGTCCATGTTTGTATCCCCATTATTCGGAAACTGGTGAGCTTCCGTGTGCTGTTAGTTTTATTATTTATTTTTATTTATTTGATTTGCCAATTGTTTACAAGATAATAAGTATAAGCGTATACATAGTTGTGAATACATGAAATGGGTACATATAAGAAAAATAAAAGAATAAGAGAAACAATAGGACAGGGACGGTAGGCACGTTGGTGCGCTTATGCACGCCCCCTACAGACCTCTTAGGAAGGGGGTGAGGTCAATAGTAGACAGTCTAAGGTTAAAGTTTTTGGGGTTTGGGGAAGAGACTACAGAGTCGGGTAGAGTATTCCAGACGTTGACC